TGCCACGTCGGTATGGGTATATAAGGTATGGATGCTGCTCTAGTACGGCGGCGTTGCTGTTCATGTTCTGATTGATGCTACTCTGGTAGGATTTTGCTGCTTCTTTAAGGCTAAACAGGTTATGATCACTAGATGTTGGTTCGTGTGCAAGGAGAATATTCCTTAACTCGAGATGGATCAGTTCGACACCAGTAATACTTTCAGGAGCACCTAGACATTCTCTTATGATTAGCTCTCTATTTTCTATTATTTTATATGACGTTTCTTGAACTAGGTGAGTCACTTGTTCTTCTATCTTTTCTAATTCAGTCCTGTCATTCGCAGATGTTGGACTTGAAGAGCTTCGTTGTAGGTCGATGTGACTATTTAGCAAACGTCTGTTTTCCCTTATGAATAAATATAAATTCAGTTCGCCAAGGAAAACATTGTCAACAGGAACTAGTGGCAGAAACGGATATTGTTCCAGCACATTTTCGATATTCTCGGCATGGTCTAGCCGGTATGTGTACACCTCTTTGCTCAATTGATTTACGTAGTCCCGCTGCTCTGCTGCAGAATGTTGATAAATACTCTCGCCAGAAGGCGCTGCATCTAAATTCAAATCTAGCCAAAGTGCATTGTCCAGTGGTAGTTGCAATGAGGCATGTGTCTGTACGAGCCTTTCCTCCTGTATAATCATAGATGCTGCAATCATGCTTACCAAGGTATTCATCTCGTCCTCGATGCGTCTCAATGCGGCAGCGTCCGCGTTCTCCTGGCTGGCTAGAAGTCTGTCATGCTGTTGTTGAAGCGCATTGAAGTGCTTGTCAAGCAAAAATGGCACGGCGCTAAGATGAATGCCGTGATGGCGCCTCAAAAGGTATGGAAATGCCCCTTCGACGTACGCACGGCGGCGATAGCAGCCTGTCATGGCTTTGTCGATGCGCGACGCCAAGTGTAACAGACGGTAATACATTCGGGCCTCAATGGACTTCACATCCATCATGCGATTCTCCTCAGCAGCACACTTGTACGCCTCACATAAGGACGTATAAAATGGGTCCCCTGTCTGGGGAAGGCATCTTTGGATGCTGAAAAGGTCTACAATTTCATCAGCATTTGGATATATTTTCATTATATGATCCAAGTTCCAGTTGGCTCGTGCCGCTCGCTGAATTTGGGCTGAGATCCGGTCGAGTGGGGAGTCAGAAATATGTAAGCTGTCCCTCCAAGGCTTGAGTGGATCTTCGAACAGATGGCTGAGATCCTGGTGATGAATTCTTTCCCGGAGGGAAGGAAAGCGGTTATGTATTTCCTCGTTATCGACGTGTCGCTGGAGACTAGTCAAGTAGTACCGTTCACATATGGCGTGCGCTGCAACGGTGATATCCAGAGTGATTGCCTCTATCCTATGCGTCAAATAACCCGTGTCAATCTCATGTTTATAGATATTGAGCAAATCGCGTAAATCGATACTCCGCGCCAATTCCGCACATGGTGTGTGAAATAGAAGCGGGTGCGGCACGAGATGGGTGAGCGAAGAGTACCAAGACCACGTATTCTGCTCGAGGATATCCACTCTCTTGTTGATCTCCGACATTACACGCCGTAACTCCTCCTTTCCTGCTTTATTAGTAATCAGTTTTTGACGCCGTTCTGAAAGCTCCATGAAGTATGCATCAGTCAAGACATGCTCCCAGTGCAATGGTAAGAGCAGATTTACAAAACGACCATAGCGATCAACAAAACTCTCGTCCAGGCGGTGAATGAAAGCGCGCTGCTTCTTCTCTGCGTCGGCTCGGTGCTGGACGTACAGGACAGCTTTTTGCTCAAAAAGTTTCCTTTGAAAGTCGGATGACTGTGACGCTTGCCATTGCTGTATGATCGAGTTGAAGTGGCGATCCACCTTCAGCGAAAGGCTCTCGACATAGACACCGTTGGTTGCCTGGAGTGGGAGGAAGGGGTACGCCTTCTGGGTATCACCTTCAGTGAGTTGACGGAATAGTTCGTCCACTCGCACCCTCATCTTCGTCTCGAGTTCCTTTGCGTCGGGCGCATCGCCCGCGACACGAGCCCGTTTTCGGGCTAACCTGATGAAAGTTTCATCCTCGAGAAGGCGGATATCATCCCATGGCTCCTCTCCTTCCTCATTACCCAACTTCAGGAACGGGTAGCGCCGTAGCACACCCCTCTCAGACGGCTCTGCCGAAGCTACCGTGGCGTCCCCCGACCTCATCAATTGCTGCAGAATGCTCAAGTTTTGGAGATAGCTGACATACTCCGGGTCCTCCCGAGGCACCTCTGCAACCTCGAAAACCTCTCCAGCAGTCCGCAGAACATCCTCCGCTGTCCCATAGTGCTTCAATTCTATTTCTACTGAGCCATGCTTATTCAGAGCAACAGCATGGGACTTACTTTTATACCCAGAGTTCGACACAATACACTTTTCTGCCTCCTCTATCAGTTTCAGGCACTCAGTCCCAAATTTGTTCAAACTCCAACAACGGTAAACATCTGCCGTGTCCAACAAAATGGCAGGTAGATCAACGGTGAATGTTGGTTTCTTTCTACACAGTTCAATAGCGGTGAGAAGGACTTCAATAGACTCTTCGTAGAGGCTTTCATGCTTAAGCTGCAATCCAATCGCCCAAAGATGTCGAATGAAGAGGTCGGAGACCCAACTGATGTTGCTGAGCCTGATTGAATGAGCCACAAGCGACTGGGTGTGAACGGAGCAGGAGGGTAGTAACTGCTTGCACCTGAAAAGGCCTATATAGGGCTGGAGGTGGAGCCACGCGCCGTGCTCAGAACAAAGATAGGCTGGAAGCTCGCGAATTGCAGCATTAAAATGTTCAATGCATTCCTCCACGCATTCACGCAAAGAAGATGGGTCGGGGGGGGGGAAATCCTCACAAGACTTTAATAGCCAAAAGCCATACTCAATATGGTGTCGTGCTCGGGTTGTGGGACAGCTTAACCGTTCATAAGCTGCTATCACGGCAGTGAAGCGATGCCGACCCTCCAGGACGTGGTCCTTCTGCGGACTTCTGAGGCACACATCGCACAGATTTCGCTCCATCATCCATAGCACATATTCCCCTTTCCCCTTTCGCTCGCGGTTCGCCGCCGCTGCCTCTTTTGCGATCCTCACAGCCTCGCCAAAGTCGCCCTTCCAGCGTGCCACTCTGCAGCAAAGCGGAAGGCAAAACGCGTACCAATGTGTGTCATGTGTTTTTATGGTACGATATAATTTGGCCAGTTTCACAGCCACCTTCGGGTCCAGAAGCTGCGGAATGACACTGCAATTGGCAAAGACAGCCCACTCCATTTCACCACTGGTGCCCTTGCCGTGTGCGCCAAGCATCCTACAGACCCGCTCGACAATTAAGGCCCGCCAGACATGGCGCTTTGTTGTCAGCAACTCTATGAAGCCACTGTCCTCATCAACAATCCCGTACTTTCGAGCTACCAAGTCGAGGAAGGTCACCTGAAAAAGCCCTTTTTCCTTGAACACATGAGAAAGATTGATAAACAATGTTTTGGCCAATTCAATTTCATCATAAGCAATGCGCTTCCCCTGAACTGCGATATAGAACTCCTGTTTTACAGTACGGCACAGCATCTCACAGCATACCACATCCATGACGGGGCCAATATGGGAATCACGATATCGGTCATTTAACTGCAATCGATAGACCACCTGCTTTAGGAGGCACAGATTCACTCCATATTCATGAAGTAGTGAACACAAACGGCTCATTCTGTGAGTTAGCGGAAGATCCATATTGCAGCAGACTGAGACAATATCTTGTTGCACAGTCGCACGATCCAGCATCTCGAGCGTATTCACGACGCCCTCTGTGACAGAGGAGGACACCTGCAACATTTCCTGCCGCTTCATAATAGTGTCACCAGCGAATAGTGGAATCAGCGTGGAATTGCAGTTCGTCACATAGTATCGCCCATCTAGCGACCTATAGACCTCTAAGGTCTGGTTGGGGGAGAAGGGAATGTGAAGGGCTTCAGAGATGAATACCAGTTCGCCCTCAACCTCACTGTCGTTAGATGAATCGTGCCCGTAAAGACGCTCGGGGGTTGGTGGCATGGGGACTAGCGCCTGTGCCAGCACTGGCATGCCACGGTAGTAGAACATTACGGAAAGAGGCACTGTGAGAAGATGACTGTTGCTCTGTAAAATACCTCGTAACGAAGTGATGTAATTCTTTCCGGAGCGGCTGTCAGGAAGCACACGAAAAAATATATTTTGCACCCGAAAACACTGCACAAATTTGAGTAACTCGTCTGGCATATCATCATCCAGTTGAACAATCTTTCGCACGATAGCTGCGGCTTCAACTTTGAACTCAGACACGATTTTATATAGCTGCATTTTACGTTGTTCTGCAAGATCAAGTGTATAAATATCCATCTCCCACGCTAGCTGAAATTCGGCATTCCAGTTTCGGCCCTCCGGTGTTATACTGGCACAAGCCTCCAGATACGGTTTGGGGGCCCTCTTCTGAGCTGGAAAAGAAGGAAATTTCCATATGGAAAGGCGATCTCCAATTGAGTGTAAAGTTGCTGCAGGGCCAGAAATGTTACTATGACCCCTTGTGCGTGAATAGGTGGTAGAGACATCACTAAGATGGGGCTTCGACTTCATATTTTTCCTGTCAAGCATGCTAGAGGTATTCGACTTCATTATTACCTCCAAATTTTATTTTGTGTACTCTTAAATAAATAAAAGTCTGATCAAAGCAAAAAAAAAATAACAATAAAACAGTTGAAAATGGAGATCGTTTAAAGGATTTTAGAAAGAAGTTTTATACCTAAAGCTTGAAAGAAAAGTCCCTTGAAATGAATCTAGACCTTATTGATATTTCCCCTTAAGGCAATGAAAGATGAAGGAGAGGGGGGGGAGGGAAGAGAGAATAAGAACCGTGTTGTTAGCTACAGTCTGCTGAGGGCTATAAATACGCACATCAAATATAGAGATCCAGCTTCCTGCTTAAATAAATTCCTACAATCAGTCTTGTCTCTCTAACACCAGGTTATGCAAAAATTGGAGGTTAAGGAAAAGGGCCCAAAACGCTCGAATCCTGTTTTGCTATAATGAAATACAGAGACCACTTTTATGGATCCACCTTTGTCACTCATGAACCAAAGAAGAAACACTTTAACAGACATGTGCAAAGCTAAAAATCATTAAGCGGGATACTGCATATTTTAATGTAAGGCAAACGAAAAAGTGCAGTAGAAAGGGAAAAAGAGACATCGATACTATAAAAATGGCTAATCAGTGATGTCACAAAAAAAGAGAGTGTTAACATGAGAAAATGAAAGATATCGATGCAGCAACTTTATTAGGTGGTCAAGTAAATAAGAGACCAGTGATCGAGCTTAGCCACATACCCTTACAAACGATATAACTCAAGCACAAGCAAAGAAAGACACTTTGTGAGTTAATTTGCGATGGGTAGACAAGAAGAAAATAGACAGGCAAACAATGGTCTATAATGTGATACCAAAAAGATCGCCGTACTCATCGTCACTGTTATTCTGATTGGTACGTTGCCGCTTTCGAGATTCCCTTTCGAGTTGTTTCTCCTGTTCCTTCAAAAAGGCAGCTCGTAGCTCTGCGCTTTGGAGCCTCTCCTCGCGCTGTAACTCCTCACTAACACCCATCTTTATCCGTGAAAACGCACGCTCAAGGACACCTGAGGCATCTTTTTGACTTTCACGCTTCTTATATTCCTTCACCCCCCCGCGCCTTTGTTTAGGAGGTTCGCCACGCTTGTGTACCTCGGGCACCGGAAGCGCCTGCGTATCTACGGCGCTAACTTTACCCTCCTTAAGGAGTCTTTCAAAGGCCGCTTCTAGCTTCTCAAGCTCCGCTGCACCCATGGTACCGTCAGGAGAACCGCCGGAAAGATCCGTCTTTACTGTCAATACACACTTTCGACTCAACAGGGTGAGTGCTTTCCGAGCAGCCTTAAGGCAGTCTGCCCTGACTTCGGTATCACCAAAGTGCTTGACAAAAATAGGCGCGTCAACTAGAAATCCACACATTAACTGCCTAGCCCTCGCGGCATCCTCTTCATTGTCGAACTCCTTCAAACCAAGGTGACGCAATGAATTATCATTAAGTCTTACAATACCCATTAACCCTCCACATTTTCTAAGAAGCTTTTCGCAGATAGAAGTGCCCACAAGCTTCTCTAGGTTAGGGGCAAAACTCATTATTAATAGTAAAACGTCTCTATATACCTTTAGGAATCAAGTTTTAAAGAATAGGTGCAAGCTATCACCTCTGTGGTCTAAATGGACCAGAGGTAAATTGGGATGTTCTCTAAGCCAATTAAGAAGAGTCTTTCAATCCAAGTAATTTAAAACAGAGCAGTTAATGAAACCATAGGATAGTCTGCAAAATTATTTTTTATAGAACGGCCCACAATCCACATACCTTGCCTGAATGGAATCGATTTCTGCATCTCAATAGCACAAGGAAATACTTTTTTCAGGGGAAAAAAATGCTTTTTTAGGGTATTAATGGTAAGCTGAAATCATGAGCCAAGCCTGCGCTTCTTTTTTAGGCGCTCCGGCTCGCTATCTTTCTGCCTCTTGGCGAGGGCTTTGAGCTCAGCAAAGAGCTCATTACACTCCTGTTTTAGCTGCTTATTTTTCACGCGTTCCACTATAAGACGGCTCTCACGATCAAACTCAAAGACTGGAAAGGGTGGTGGAATGCTACTCCTGGCTCCGGACACTATTTGACACAGATCATCCCAGCGAACACCACTAAAGCGAGGTGATTCCTTCCAGGGTTGGCTTGCAATGTTACATTGCGATGAGTGGAGATCCTTCGCAGACCAGCCCTCCCAAAGTAAGGGCAAATTCTCATTGAGGTTGTGATGAAGGTCCAGGTGCGTACCTACGTGGAAACCTGCTTCCTTGTGTGGCATGCTACCGGGAATCTCTGTAGTGGGACTATAGACCCCAATACTTGCGGTACAACGACCCGGTGCAATGGTCCAGTGCACATGACCTACAGGCTTTTCCCCTCCTTCTGCACTCCTCTCATCAGCTATTGAACGGTGGGCAATAGTCCCCAAAACAGACCCATCTTCTCTGCACACGTCGAGGTTTTGGAAATATTCGTCAGTGGCTGTTGTGTTCACGACCATATCCTCAGAGTTCTTCCATGAGTAAAAGCTCAGCCACGGTCGCTGGCTATCGAAGCTCCTCTGGGTATCAGTAGTCTCAAATTCAGAAGCTTGGCTGGGTCGAAGGCCGTGGAATAGATCCACTCGCGCCAGCCGCCTTCCAGCAACGAAGCAGCACGTCTCATCGGGGGAAAGTGCAAGGCAACGTGAAGGGAAGCCAACACGCAAGGATCCCACCAACGCGCTGTCATTCTTGGATTTGTGGAGGACGTCGTGCAGAAGAACAAGGCCATCAATACTCAAGGAGGCCAATGTGCGATCATCGCTGAAAAAGGCAGCGGCTATGACCGGCAATGTATGACCTGTGAAGCGCCGATGAGGCATCATGTGTGGTCTTGAAAAAATTGAAGCCAGAGTAAACACACAACATGCCCCATCGTGGCCGGTTGAAGCCACTAAATTGGAAGAGTTCAGGGCGAAACTGTAAACTGAACCATGGTGCATCCTTTGCATGTAAATCAACGTACCGTAACCGGAGCCATCTCCGTTCTCAGGATGATAGTAGCCGAGCACGCTACCCCTATTCGTGCCCACTAATGTAAGGGCACCTCCTAGACCCGATCGCACGCAGCTCACAACATGACGAGTGCCGAGGTCATCTTTATGGAACACTGACGCCGAGGACTTCAGCTCCTTCATCAGCTTCTTAACCTTTTTTGATCTACAAAATATCATCACGGTATGGTTGAATGGGTTTCAAGAGAAAATCCAGTTTAGAGTGAAGGGAAGTTGTGCAAATAAGAAATCCAAAATGACAGAAAAATAAAAAGACAAAAGGAACGCCTATATAGAAGCAGCATGTAGGCTCTGCATCTAAGGACTAAAGTTTTAGGCAATGTTAACGCATCGAATTTGCTTCCATATGTTTACGTTCTGAATGGTTTTCATCTCATCCTAAAAGTATTAAAAAAAAAAATAGAACCTCAAATTTCATCACGCTTACGTTTTTATGTCAATAAGAGATCAGAAAAGACACACTAAAATGCTTAGCACGGATGCAACTACAATCAACCTTAAATTGAGTCAAAACGATAAAATTTATTCAAAAAAATCAGCACACGCATCTTATTCCATGGATATGCATATTATTTTTTTTGATCTTCACAAACGCATTGAGTAATCCTTAGAAGTATAGCATCTTCCTTCACTAATGGAATTAGCGTGACTTCTGTGCCATGTCGAAAATCATGCTGTTGCCGGATGGGAGAAATGTCGTGTTGGCCATCGGCGCGAGCTGGTTCGCCACCTCGATAGCCGCCTCAATGCGACGTAGTTCGAGAAGGCCTGAACCGGACTCCTGAATCGCTTGAGATACCAACCGAGCTGACTCTGCTTCACCCTCCGCACGTACAACAGCCGCACGACGTTTCTGTTCGTTCTCCATGACGACATAGCGATAACGCTCGGCCTCCTGCTGTGCCACCTGTTTCTGCTCGACAGCTGCCATAAAGTCGTGGCCAAACTGGATGTCTACGAGTGAAAGATCCTCGATCACGAGGCCGAACTGGCCTACTTTTTCCTGCATGAGCTGGTACACACGCGTAGAGACGGCGTCGCGTTTCTGGATAAGCTCCTCAGCCTTGTATTCCGCTACAACCGCCTTCAATATTTCGTTGCTCACGGAGGGAAGGATGCGCTCGTCGTAATCCATCCCAAAGGTTCGGTAGATCTGTGGAAGCCGATCAGTAATCGGACGGAACAACACGCGCAAGCGAATATTGACCATCTGAAGATCCTTTGTTCCAGTCATTGTCTGCAGCGTCCGGGGGCGAATGCGAATATTAAAGCGCTTCACGTCATCCAGAAATAAGATACGCCATTGAATACCCTCACCATAGACGGAATGCTTCAACCCAGAAATTTTGTTGTAAAGAATACAGGCCTCGCCGGGGTACACCACGAAGCAGCAGCTGTAAATCCCTACTCCTGCTGCTATTGTCCCGACCGCGAATTTCTGAAATAGCTTCGACATCCTCACAGTACCAAGAAATGGATTAAGAAAAATGTAAATCTCTAGAAAAACATATCAATAAATAATAATAATAATAAAAGGAAAAAGGAAGTCTGTTTGATTGCTCTGAGCACGATTTACAGTAGTGGTACAAAAAGTCTAAGAGCAAAAAGCTTGCCTTGAAAAATTTAGTAATCTTTAGCGCAGAAAAAACTGCGCGTAAATTAGAGGATACCATCATACGTTTCATTCAAACTCAGTTGATCTCACTTCGTTTCGCCTTCGCCTTCGTCTTATTTTTTTTTTAAGAGGAACAGTGTTTCTGAGAGATCAACTTGAATATTTATAGTGTTCAAATAAACGAATCTAGGTTCTCTGATTTGTTTAAACGAAGAAATTACGCAGCAAATTATGCTTAAATTAAAGAGAGAACGAAAGCTTAAGCGTTTATATCGAGAACAGGTATAATAGTAATTTAGATCACACAAAATAAAAATAAAACCTCAAAATGATTTGTCAAAATTCCTTTAAACAAGTTATTCGGCAATAAACTCTTCTAAGCAAGAGTGCTCCATCAAAGAAAGACCCCACAGATATCAGAACCCACTCTCCATAACCAGACGACGATATTCCTGTGTAAACTTGTTGTAGAATACGTTGTCAGGCTCCTCTGTATTGAGGAGCTCCTCACTCGTGTCCGCGTCCACGATCTCCATCCTAAACAATGAAAAGATAATGGCGCCAAGCAGCTTATCCAGACCCTCCCTGGGATCTTTGGGCTCACACAAAGAATAGATCACCCTAAACCCAAGGTTCACCGGTTCCTCCGCCGGATTTGGCTGCGGCACTTTGGACCAGAAGTCGAGCAGGGTATCCACTTTGGTCTCATCGGTATCGCTCAGCTGATTGAACGCCATGCAAAGAACATTCGCTGCGTCGTAGTAAACATCCGCGATGACCTCTTCCTCCGAGGAGGTTAGCCGCAGCAAATGCATAAAGCGCTCAGAAAACTTAGGCACGTCCTCGAGGATGCCATCTTCGATGGCCGAGGCCAGGGCGCCGGTAAAGCCCTGAAGCATCTCCTCGTCTATGAGGTACAGCCCGACGATCAAAAAACTGCAGGCCTCCCGTTGGGCCTCCTTGCGGGTGGTGATGCACGCCTCGGTGATCACCTGCACCGCAACGGCCACGCACAGGTCCCGATCCGAGGCAAATGTCCGATCGCAGTTGTTGAACTCGTTGATCCACTGCGGAATGAAGTCGTTGGAGTAGTCCGAGACCCACTCCTGAAGGAGGGTGCGCACGCGCAGCTCAAACCGAACCTTTGGAGGCTTACCGACGGCGCTGGCGTCGGCAGAGGAGGCCTCGGCGACTGCGGTGGCCGATGGTGTGGCGTTGGAAAGATCTTTGCCGCTCTGTACGCCCGCTGGCTGAGACTTCTTTTTCGAAGTCGACGTGGTCACTTTGATGGGCGCGCTTCGAGAAGGAGCCGCATTGGATTTCGAAACGGCCACATCCCTCCAACTCTTCCCGCCGACCTCGCTGAGCCGGCCCTCAGCGGACTTCTTGGAGGCCACCGGCGGCGACGCGGGGCCCTTGGCGCCGCTACTACCAGTTGAAAACTTCACGGTTTGTTGTGGCTTTGGTTTGGTGCCCCATGCCGACTTACGCAGATCGATCACATCCATGATTTTGAAGCGAATTCGATGTGGATAAGGGTTATCCGGCTTCTTGATCAACCCTGCAAGCAGCTCAAAGTAGTGATCCATCTGCTTCTTTTGCTGTTTATCCATATACTCCCCGATGGTGCAGAGAAGCTCTGAAATGATTTCAATATTCTCGCTTTCTGGAAAGCCGCCTTTGGTTGCGGCTTTCATAATCACCTCGAAGATGTTAAAGATCGTTGTATGAGAAAGCACACCATTAAGGCAGAGCTCACCGACAAATCGAATGTTAGCACGTTGGCGACGCATGAAATTGGATCGCAGCTGGTCCAGTGCCTCTTCGGAGAGGTTTTTGCCATCCTCGTCCTCGCTCCGATGCAGTTCCTTAAACTCCCTCTGCGCGGTCGCCACGATCGCATTTCGAAGCTCAGACTTCGGTCGGGAATTATCACTGTCGTTTAACGTCACTTCGTACTTCGCCAGATTAAAGCACACGCCCGCATACAGCTTGCTGTTCATTGGTTCATCAATTGCCTTATAAAAAATTAGGTTCACCACATTAGTTAAGATGCCATTTGTTTCGAAGAGCTTTCTGGTGCGCAGCTCGGACATGATATCGTCGAAGTTTCGCTCGCTCAGCTTGTTGAGCGAACCCTGCACAAGCCTGGAAACCCACTCCTCGGTGGTCTGGGCTGTTCCTTTCACTCGCCAGGCATTCTCACCACGAACAAGTTTCGTTTGCGTCGCGCGGCGGCGGCGACAGACTTCATCGAGTGTAAACCCCGGGTAAGGAGGGTCCAAATAGCGGTTCCGTACGCTACGGATCTGCTCCACGGTAAACTGCATTTTCTTTTTCGTCAAAGTATAATGAATACAACCTTGTAATGTTATGTAAAACAAAAATGTTCGTGTGTGCGTATGTGTGTGTGTATGTGTATATATATATGCAGTACCTTCCACTTTCTCCCACTACATAAATATTGTATTACAAGAGTAGAGTCGTTGTTGGACTTTTTTCACTATATATTTCTTCAAAAATGGTTTGCCCAATATTATTGAACTTCACAATGGAAACGCGTTCGCAAGCTCAGTAATGCGGTATAGATTATTCCGATCAATTTATAGTCAGACATTATTTAAGTGGAAAGTTTCAAAACCGTACTGAAAGGACATCTAACATGGGCTTTGTCTGATAAAATGGATACTCTTTTTTTTTTGTATGTTAGATAACAAATTCACGCCAATCCACACTCGTACGAAACATATATATAGGAAACAAAAGACAGTTTAGCTATTTAATATAGCGTTGAGAAAAGCATCGTCATCGTCGCACTCGTTGGATTCAACAGACTTCACCATAGTTGAGGGGCCTGAAACGCTGGTCTTTGTCGGTTGCGATGGGGGGTTTTCATGAAAGTCGCCACCTGTACCGTTGTGTGCATACCTCTCGGCCTCCGCCAAGCGCTTTGGCAGAAAGCCGACCTCCGTGCGGCCGCGCTCCATGTCTATGATAATCGGGCGACCTTTGAGGCGCTTTTTCTTACTATATGTGGTTGCCCTCTTGGCCTCCCCTGTCAGACCAAACTCCACAAACGCGTAGCGGCGGCTTTTCCCGGTCTGGCGGTGCCGCACAATGCGGACCTGCACGACTCGCCCGAACTGGTCAGCAAAGCGCCGGACGTCCTCCTCGATGGTGTCGAGGTGCAAATTGGCCATAACCACCGTCTTCTGCGCGTTGGAGCGAATTTGCAGATCGGTAAAAGGACTCCGGCGGGCGCGCTCCTCTCCCATCTGCCGAAGCCACCGCTGATGGCGCCCCTCCTCGTCCTCTGGTGGGGTCGTCGGGGCGTCGGGGGGTGAGGACTGGTGAGAGGCGATTTCGCGCGCGCGTCGGAAGGTGATGTGCACGGGAGCCCCCCCCATATGACCGGATTGTCGGCGATGGAGACGACCAATCGCCGGCGGTGGGGAGCGGGAGCGGAAGAAGTCCCGCTTCCACGCCATGTGCCGCTCCAGACGCTCATTTGTTGAGCTCTTTCGAGCCTCATCGTTTTCGGTGTGGCCCTGCATCCACACTTAGTTCATGTTACTCCAAACCCAGGAAGAAAGGGAAAATAGCGTTAAGTTAGGGAAGCATGTAGAGATTCCTGGAAGAGAAACTACAAATTAAAAGTAAAAACTAGGTTGAATCACACACACATGACCTCATGGGTAATACCGGCATCCACAGAAAAAATAATAATAAATAAAAGTATTCATTATTAGATAGGTGTTGAGGTGCTATACTTTGTATGGAGATGTTAGTACGGAATGAACATTTTTGTAGGCATCTCTACGAATATTTACTATGAGAAATCGATAATATGTTAATAAACACGATACTCCATGCAAAGAGCCTCTTTCATAAAGCGTATGTGAAAAATATTTCTAGCAACTTACAACGCAACACCTAGTAAGCAAAGGAAAGCTAGAAGCACTGGCTGTACCGCAGAATCGGCACTAGTCAAGAGAAACCCATTGAAAAGACTGGAGCGCTTCCTTCATTTAGCGCTTCCAGTGTATCCTAAAAGGGACGTTGCCAAATTAAAGGAACATCAAAATCAACAATATCGCAAAGGAATGTGCCATTGATGCCAATACTTACATGATCATCGATTAGACTATGCCAGGGAAAAGGAAACCCACTAGGCAGAATCCGGCACACCGATCTCATAAGTTAATGCTGATGCCCTCTGTCATCATGCGCTCGATAGAAGGCTTAATAAGGGTCTTGATGATCGCATCCACCTTATTGTTCACCCCAGGCACCGTAGCAAAGTTAGAAACCACTTTAAAACTCTTCAATGGATCGCCGAAAAGCTGTATCTTCAGCACGCGCTGTTTTACAATCACCTTATGGGTCAATAAATCCAACATGGAGTGGCTCTTCATGCTCGGCGTCGGCTCCTCCGGGGTGTTGGAAATTTGGCTTCCCTCACTGGAGTAGGAACGGGCGGTGGAAGATGTCCTTAAAGGGATCGCATTCCACGGCAGTTTCGATTTCGGTACGATGTCAGGTGAAAGAATGGCCTCGGGAAGTCGCATCGCCCGTCGCCCTCCGGCACCGAAAAGTACCCCATACCCAGAGACCCGTGCGGTCGGCGTACGTATGTTTAATAACGGCCTATCGCCGTCATCGCTGTTAATCACGCAAAGATTCGCGATGCCGATCTGGCTTAACTGCTGCGTTCGTGCTTGACTCATCGGTCGGAATTTCGAACGACTGAGAGAGCTAAAAGTATCATCGCTATCGCGCCGGGTGGTGTCCTCGAGGTCTTGGAATAAATCAATGGAGACCATCCCATCCAGCCGAATGTCCCGCAGCGTCATCTCAAATGGGCAATAAAACGGCATGGCGAGGTTTGTGTTGGCCTCCTCGTCATTCGAGCCGATGGTATCGAGGTTGATCTCTAGTCCTCGCAAGGTAACCGAGAAGTCCCCATCATAGCGTAATTTCATCATCAACGCGATTCGCTCAGGTGAGATCTCGCGGATCCCGCTAAGCATCAACTCGGGAGGGTACAGCCCCATCGAAGGCAAATCCGCCACTACCATGCCTCGAATTTTGGAATTGGTGCTGCCGCCCATCGCGGACCGGATGGCAGACTCAATGGCCGCTCGCACGGACTCTCGGCTCTCCAAACTCCACACCTTTGGCCACTCAAACTGCAGCATAACTAGAGTTCAATATCGAATTGGGGGTACTAATTTATTTACTCTAGGGAAAGGGGTGTAGAAAACGATGACCAAAATTAGTAGAACAGGTTGACCACAAGCCACAGCTTGAACCCCTCTATGATACTCATTGTACACACAGAAAAATTAAAAAAGTAACCTGCGAAGAAGGCAAACAAAGCGTAGTAAAGTCATCGAATTTTAGACTAGCGTGATATGAATATGTACTCTGTTTGCTTTTTGAGGGTGTGCAGGGTGAGAAAAAAAAATGTTTAATTTCATTCAGTGGTACGATAACTTGCACGTAAAGCACAATAACAAGCGCGAAGTCAGACTAATCATGCCTGGCTCTAGACTCAAGCCACGTCCGAAAAGAATCCCAAAATCAGGATTAACGAACCACCCTTTCACCAGGATAACGACCGAAGGGGATGGTACTGCCAATCATTCTTCCGACATCCGTCCCCCGACCATGACGGGACATTTGCCCATAACGCTTTAAAACCGTATCGCGGGGGCGAATTCGCCACTCCGTGGCCAAGTGCCGGAGTCTGTGCGGTGGATCCTCTCGAAGGGGGATATCCTCATCGCTACCCAATGTCATCCCGGGGCTTTGACGACGTTCCTCCTCTATTCGCTCCAGTAAGGTGTTAACCACCTCGGAGGTCCCAAAAGCCTCCTGACAAAGATTCAAGAAGCGCACCGTGTCGTCGTTTGCGGCAATATTCAGAAGATTGAAGAGATTAACAATTTCATCCGTCATGGAAGCCCCGCCTGTTGGCGGGCTTGCGTTGCTGTTGGCAAGCAATAGAGAATTCATCTGTCGGGTTGACAATTCTTTCCCATAGCTCATCAACTTTTTCAATTTACTAAATGCAGAACCAACAGCGCCCACGTGAGCAGCGAGGTCCATGTACTGATCGTATATCTTGGAAATATGATCCACAGAGCTCCCCACCGCCTCTAGACGTTCAATGAATGCCTCAGCCGCTAAGAGCATTTCTATACGTGGCTCCTTACACCGGACGCAAGCCTGCTCAAATAAAAGCACCATCTCCGGGGTGGGGTTTATATTTTCATGTACGAACTGTTGGTAAATAGAAAGTGCTAACTCGCCATCATGCTGTACGGCACAATACATAAAGATGGTAGTGAAAGTAAGATAGTCAGGTGTGAGGCCGCGCAGCGCAAGCTGTCCAATGACATCCATAATGAAACCACCGAAGTCGGGCATGGAACGAATGGCGTAAAAAGCCCAATAGTAGCAGGGTAATGAAAGATGGATTTGCGCCGCGTCGGCCATCCCAAGAGCCTCCAGCACCTGCGCCGGTTTGTGCAGCATGCTGACCATACGAATGTACGCCTCGACACTTTCGGTGGGGCGTTGGATTCTGTAAAAGTCGTACAGAGCCCACGCATCGAGGCCTCGCTGGGCATACCCACTGAGCTCATCTTGCCAGTCCTCTCCACTCGGTGGATGGGTCTCGGGGTGGTTTGAGGAAAATATCGGGTCAAGCCGCTCCGTGGCGATGGCAGTCAGTAACATTGTCTTTTCGAGCATGCTAGCCCTTGGTTTCAGGTGGCGTTGGATAGACTCCTCTATCACTTGCATGCCTTCCACGAACTTCTCACAGGCCACACACAGCTCCAACACGGAATCAAAAAAGTTGGTATCCAAAGTATACACGTTGGATTTGTTATTCGTCTCTTCCGCCTCGATTTCCCTCGCTCGCTGTGTGTAAACGTTCCAACCCTTATTCCAGTCTCGGCATACCGCACAGCAGCGAATCATTTCCGCATGAGTCGCAATCCCAACTTCTACAGGAGGAATATTTGTGACGATCATCCGTTCGAACATCTCCTCCGCGTAAATGAAGTTGTTAACCCGTTCCCACTCCGCCATCATCCGAATTTGATCAAGTTGGTAGCGAATAAAGGCGCTGCAGCTCTTGTCGGAAAGGGGAACACGTTGATAGATAAAGTCTCCCAAAAGGCGCCTCGGGGTTGGAAGCAGCCGGGCATGACGAATGAGCTTATCCACATCCAACAGATGCATATCACGTTTGAAATAGCCATAGCGTGAATAGCGAAGGTTCTTGGCCAGTGCGGTTTGATTGTAAATATGCTTCATGTGTGGTCGATCCGGGTCGACCCACACCCGGTACGACTTCTCAAACCCGGGTTCCCCACCGAAGAGCCCCATCTCGGAGGTGGTCAGGGCCGGGCGATGCAGCTCTTTGTATTCAGGGCTTTGAATATGTGCCTCGTAGGCCTCCTTTGCCGCCTTCTCGTCATCGATCCACAACAAGGGCGGCGAGCACGCGTTTTCACGAGAGAACGCGGCCGCGGATTGGGCCGCTAGGGATGCCAGGTAACGCCATCGTAAGCTACGCGCCAGCATGACACCCGTGCCTGGCCGCAGCGTATCCCGGGGCTGTTATTTCCTCTGTGGGTTGAGTATCGGCCTAATAGCGCGGTTACACCTCTGCGTGTGCGCGCGTGTCAAAAATGGCACAAGCACCTTTTCTAAGTGTCCCACGTACAAAGTACCTGTTACAGTAAATGGGAAAAAAAAAGATAAAGACAATATCAAGGCAGCGAAAATGGACGAATATTTTCCGCGCATTCAATCTCGCGGTTGGGGAAAGGAAACACATTTGTAGCATTGGCTGTGTGTCGGGAAGCAAGACCGGCAGAAAGGCTCTTTGTGAGTTTTCTGGAAAATGTCCGCACCACGATCTACAAATCAGAGGTACACACTTACATAGCTGTACAGGAAACGAGTCCTTGTTTGGTTTATTGCAAAGATATGTTATGTACATTGGAGACGCCCAACCTTACTAGTTGGAATGAACCTATCAAAAAAGGGAAAGAAAGTTCTACAAACAAGCCTTCCAAACACCTCAAATATCAGCAAAGAATAAAACAGAAGTTGCGAAATCGGTACTGGAAATGGGATGCGTAAAGAACTCGCACACCTACACCTTTCTCGCCTTCTTCCTCTTCGCTCAATTTCACTTTATTTCCCCCATGCCTGGAAGGGGGATATTTTTAGCTCGAAGTTTCTCTTCCATTTGATTAGCGAGCTGCCTTAATTGGTCAAATTCAGATTTGTAGGTCTCCAACTCCCGCTGGAATGATTCTTCGTAAGCTGCAGACGCCGCTGGATCCGTTGGACGTATTATACCGACCTTTATTGACAAGAGTCGCGCCTCCTTACGCAAGTCATTGATTTCCTTTACCAAAATGACATTCTCAGATAAAATACGATTCTTATCCGCCCTGTTATTCTCAGCGTCTCGGTTTACTTTCTTTTTGAGGCTTGCCAAGTTCCGCTCCAAGTGGTTGCGCTCACGGTGGTAATCGCGAACTTCGTCAGTCGCAGTTCGAGAGGTCAGAGTTTTTTGAACGGCGGGTTGTGGTTTATTGGAGGTGTACTTATCAAAAAGTGCCTTCGCCATCTCCTTGAGCCTACGTGGGTTGTCTATCTCATCGTGCACATCACAAAGCTCCGTCCACAAGCGAGATTGGAACTCCTGAACGGCCTTCATCTTGGTAGTGAGGGAATCTACCTCCTTCTGACGTCCAGCCCGCTTCTGGCGAAGATTGCGAATCTGCAAGACTAAATTCTCATTACTGTGTTGATACCGCTCGGCTTCGGCATCCATGTAAGTAAGCTTTTCGGTAGCCGAGCGTATCTCAGCCTCGCGAGGTTCGATTTGGGCCTTTAGTTCCTTTATTTTGTACTCCAGCACAAACTTGAACTTCTCCAGCTCCTGGTTCTTTAGCTGCAGATCCGCAATGCGCCGCTCCTTCTCCTCGATGGCATCCCCTCGCTCACGGAGCTCATTCGTCAACGCCTTGATGTCATGTTTCGCGGCATCGATCTGGCCCTCCAAAATCGTCTGCTGCCGCAGCTTCTCCATCACATCGGCCGTTTTGGACGCCAACTCTGTCTTCTTGATGTTCTCCTGCGCGAACATCAAGCTGTTCGAAACCTGCAGCGCCGCCAACTCCTCCTCCTGCTCCCGACGCCGTCTTTCATAGCTTTGCTTGCATTTGATCAGCTCGATGTCGTTATCCTCCTCAATCCAGTTGTTCATCGTCTCCGTTTCCGCGTCATTTTTCTCCTTTTTCAGAAGCAGCGCGTGGTATTCCTCCTCGAGCTGTTGTAGGAATTGGGCCCTTTGCACCTGCTGCGCGGCGCGCTGAGCCGCGGCCTCACGACGAACTTCGGCCACATTACTCTCGTACTCCGCGCGCTGCTCCGAAAGAAGAACACGCAGCTGATTCGCCCGCTCGTGCATCGACGAGATCTTCGCACCGTAATCCTCCTCGGTCTGGTCCGCGGTCTCGCGGGTTTTGGTTTCTAACTCCGCCATGTACTCGGTAAAGCGAATCGCCTGTTCGTTCTTTTCAGAATCCAGTGCGTCGATCTTCTCCGTCAGCCGAGAGAGCTCACGGCGGTAATCGCACTCCATCTTTGCGATATTCTCCTCATGGGACTGCTCCCGCTCCAATTGCTGTTGAACCATGCGTTGTTTGAGATCCAACACCTGACCTTGCAGGGACTCGATTAATTTGACCACCTTATCCAGCTCATGGCGGTCGATAAGGAGCTCATTGGAATACTCAATTTCGGCCCGCCCGCCGCGATGGGGGGCGACGACATCCCAAATCACCACCAAACCATCCTCCCCGACGCTCACCAGGAGGCTTTCGTTATGGCTTAAGGCCATCATGCGCACCCCGCCGGTGTGAGCGGGGTGGGTCTCCATCGTAATCCCGGGACGGCTGCCAGAGTTCGACTTGAGGGATTCCCGATCGCGATCGAAAAGTTTCTCCCCCAAGTACGTGTTTAACACCCGCACGGTTCCATCATCGCAGCCGCAGAAAAGCAGCTTCATTTGCACGCTAATCGCCATGGAAAGCATCGAGGCGCTGTGGAGGTCGTGCTCGACGCACTTCTGCAGGGTTTGGCGGTCGAGCTGCCGGAGTTTTCGGTCGCTCCCGGCCGCCCAAATGGTGTGGACGTCAGCCACGGAGCAGTTGTACGTGATGGCCTTGACGACGTTGTCGTTGACTTTGTGGAAATCCATCAAATTGAACTCGTAGATCGCGCCATCGGCGCCGGTGGAAACAATCCGCGTATCGTCCGGGGGGACAAAATAAAGACTTTTGACCTTTCCGCTGTGCCCTCGCAGGTGGCCGAGCAACTCGCAGGTGTACGTAAAGTAAACGTGTATCGTTGAGGAATGCGCCGCGGCGTAGAATTGCCCACCCGAGCTAAACGCGCACGCCCCGCAGGAACGAATGTCGATGGTCTTGAATTCACGTATATCCTTGGCGTAGATGTTCATCAGCTTCAGGCTATCTATAAAACCAACCAAGAGGTGAAGTCCGGACGGGTGCATCGCGACGCTACGAATTTCAGAATTAAACCGTTTCCGCATCTCGACGCTGTTGGTAATGCTATTCCAAATAAAAATCTGCCCATTTCGACTGGCCGTGACGATAAGGGGGCGTTGGCAGCTAATATCAACACCTACTATAGGTCCCGTATGAAAGGGCTGGCCAACAGGCTGAAATACATAATCCCCGACGCGGTTGAAGTCAACATTGGGTAAATTCAAGCAGTAGATTTGTTTGGTGCTAGTGAGAAATGCCAAAGTCTCCTCTGCTGGGGGAGGAGTAATCGTAAAGGAGAGGATAATAGGGACATCCTGATCGTTGTTGAGTGATAGTGCCTCCGTTCGAGGTTCTCCGTCAGAAGTAAATTGAAAACTGCGTACCTTACGGTACATCTCCTTGTTGTTTGTCCGCTCAAATATTATAATCAAGCCCATATCACCACCACAAACAAAGCCTTTGCTATGCGCCTTCAGCGCATGAAGTGGTATACCATCAGAAGGTGAAATAGGAAGTGGGTACTGGTACTCCATATTGTCAAAGAGAAAGAGGTCGCCGTTAGCACTAGAAACAATAAGATGGTTCGGGTCTGAAATGGTCCACATATGCGCCAGGCAATCCGCCGCATCCGCATTCAAACCACGCGCCGTTGAGCATGGAGTTAATTCGCTTTCGACAAGTTTAAAAAATCGAACCGTCTTTGGACCCGACACACACAAAAGGCCCGGATTATTGGGAGAAATACTGCACTGATTAAGGTAGTGGCGGTCGGTGACGATGCCTTCCCTTCCTATAACAGAGCATGCCGAGAGCACCTTCGCCTTTCCGATATTCCAGTAGATGATTTTCCACTCTGGAAACCCCCCCAGGACTGCTAAGTTCTTCCCATCCTGTGAAAAACTCAAGGAAACGTACTCGGTTGATCCCACATCGGGCATTTGTAATATCTTCTTGCCCCGTAGACGTGGCTTTGTGGTGGCATCGAACAAATAAATCACGACGCAAGGGTTAGGCCCACTCTCGGCTACCGCCAGAACATGATGATTTAGCGATAGAGCCATGGCGGTGACGGACTCACACGAAGGAGAGCAGGGTGTGAGTTCTTGAACGCCCATCTGAGTATCCAAAAGAATAAGAGTATTACCGGCAACCCAGACAATGTTATCGTCGTCTAGATACTGGATCCCATCCTTTACATTTTCCCGTACACCAAACACCGTACGGCGCTCAAGCATTTTGGGGGGAATTGCCATCTTTCCCGTGAAGCTGCTATTCCTGGCTTTTCCTTCGCCTCAAAGGGTTGTTTGGATTCGTTTTGTGTTGTTATTGTTGCTTCGGTTCAGCGCCACAAATTAAAGTCACTAAGACACCAAAACTAGGTGAAATCCAAATAATAAAAATAATAAAAGGAAGAAGAAAATGGGATTCAAATATCTCAGGTACAAATTAAAGTGCCCAGAAGCTAATAAAGACACCTGAAAATCAAGTGCGGTGAAACATTTCGTTTGAGGAAGTATAAAAAAAAAATTATGTACGACATAATGTTTATGTATTTTCTATGAATAATTTATGAAAAAGAATTCTATTTATGTAGGTGAACTATATGAATCTCTATAAACTTGTGTGCTGCTGTGAACCACCGTTTTTTTTTTTAATTCTCATCTCCTCTTGCCTTTAGGCTACTTTCCAAAGATGTGTCCCAAATTCACGAAAAGATGGTCAATTCGCTTGTAAAATGTTTCCGCGGTGTTATAAAGTAGGTCTTCGGGTTCGAATTCGTCTTTTATGTTCGGGTTGTCGGCTTCCTTCATGGTGTATATCTTTCCACCCTTACCCAGGCACCGGCGAGCCTGTGTGCGATGGCATTGCTCCACCCTCGACGAACACGCGGGGTAGTGCGGAATCCCAAACAGCGCTAGGAAATAGGTAAACTGAACGCGAATCGCACGCACGGCTGCGACGGTCCCACCGGACTGGTAAAACTCCCGCAGCAGTGTAAAGCAGAGTTGATTGAAATAGTTCACAAGGGATTTGTAATTCAGAGGGCTCTCGCAGTTTGTGCACACATACAGGAAAAAAGGCGCCCTGGAGTCGTGGGTTGTCTCCAAAAACTTCAGCACTCGCGTGTGGGGATCAATGGTGACTTCGGAATAACAGCAATGGCATTTTACCTGGAACCGCACGACATTCGGAAAAGATTCGGACAGGTGGTAATTCTTGAACATTGCGCAATGCGAGAAGTCATCCACCTCATTGGCGATGGGATCGTCGTATTGGGGGGCGGCTGCCTGCACCGCTATCCCCATGGCCTGGCCGAGTTGGGTGCTAGTAAAGCCCTGAATATGCTCGCACAAACGCTTCACAGGGGGGTAGATTTGGGAGGTCAGGTACCACTCGGCGTGAATTCGTAAGTTTCGATCGCGTCGGACCTCCTCGACGTGGTAGGGCTCCCCGCCCGATTTTTCCCCTTCGCAGATAACGTAGGGGATGATGGACCCCACCTGGACCAGCTCTTTTCGCTGCCGCATTCGCCACGCCACGGCAACATGCGGAAGACGCCCGGCCTGGTAGGATTCCAGCTCCTTCGTCAGGCTCTTCGAAATGACGAAATCCTCCAGCGTAAAGCGATCCCCCAACCGCACGTGCTCGGACACCTCCTGCACGTATTTCACAATGTAATCGATAATATCCTCGCAAGCGGTGGCGTACAAGATGCGATTCAGAACGGTGTCGCTCACTTTTTTCGATAACGGACACCAATCCCGGCGCACCATATCCAAGCCTTTAACCTCCTTTTTATATGTCTTACCCTCCTCCTGCCAATCCACGACAGACAAGGAGGCGTATTTCTTCTTCTTTAAGAGCAAAATCGCGCGAAAAACACCATCAATGTCGATCTCAAGGCTCTGGTAGCGCTTATTGATTTTGGACCTCAGCACATAGCCGATCTCACGCACCGATTTTATGTCGTCCTTAATGCCGGTCTGAATCATAACGGAATCGGTATCGCCATAAATAACCCGCAGGGAGGGGTTGATCTGCGGAATCAAGTCGACGGTGCCCTGCAGGGCAAGCCGACCCTGACGGGTGACCAACTCTGCGAGTTTCTGAGCAAAAAAACGTGAATGCTCGAATCCAAGACAACCGTACATGCTGTTGGCGATCAGCTTTAAAGCTTTCTGACGAATCTCCAATAGCGCCAAGCTGCCCTCATTCTTCTCCGACTTCATAAGACGTTTAACCTCACGACGGCTATCCACAAGCCTTTTGATGACCTTAGGCAAAACGCACTTGTGAGGACAAGGGAACGGCTGTCCATCAGCGGCGCAGGCGGCGCAAATTAAATTATCGGGTGGTGGGATCTCAACATCCTCATTACCCTCTCGATCCACAGTCGTAAAACAAATATTAAATTCTTGAATGAGGGACGGGTATAGAGAGTTGAAATCGAGAAGAAGAATATAGTCGGAATACAACCCACATTTCGGGTCAAGCACCATACCACCTTGGTACTTGGACCTTCGTTTGGATTCCTCCGGCTCTTCGTCATCCCTTTGACGTTTAAAATCGAATGTCTTCTTGTCCGGGGTAATAAACTTAAGGTCATGAAAGGCATGTAGTAAGAGATATTCAATACGCTCGGAGCGTGCGCCGTACAATGTTCGGCTCCATAGATTACCAGCTATATTCGTCAAACGCTTTGTTAAGCGCAGGGCATCAAGATGAAATACTACTGTAGCAGAGAGAACAGCACTATTACAGAGCTGAATCAAGATCTCGAATATATTTTCAGACGATGAAAGCATCTCTGGGGTTAAAATAGTAGTCCCTGGTTCAAAGCTACCCCTTCCCTTCGTGATACCCTTCAGTTTCATCTCATCAGCTAAAGAGAGTAATCCATAATTGACCGTTTTGAAATACTCACGAGCAAGAAGGTAAGAATCGGCAACGAGTCTTCCGACACAAAATTCTTTTTCTTGATTTAAATTGAGGTTTTGTTGACGGATAAAGCGATTCAACTGAAGCCGGCCGATGGCAGACCAATTAGGCACATTCAAGTCCTGAAAGCGCCGCAAAAGTGTGTCCAACGTAAAACCAATGAAATTGTGTCCAATAAGGATATCGGCGTCGACTGAATTTATCGTGTTAGCAATCCAGATTAAAAGTTGTCGTTCATTATTGAAACGGTGAACTCCAATAAGGCCTTTATTGCTACAAAATGTTTCAAAATCAAGTGGTAATGGCTTGTCAGGAGATAATGCCCGGACACCCGTAAGAATATTCCCGGGTTGACCCCGTACCGAATTTTCGATATTAATGTTGCGGTAGATAGCTAATGTTGCTGCAAATACTTCATTTGTTGCCCCTCGACTATCCAACTGAGCATGAATTTGAATGCTAGCTAATGTAAAAGGTGGTATTACTTTGGATACTTCTTCTACTCGAATTTTTTTCGGTGAGTCGACAGTGTATTCAACCTTACAATGGGTCATCCGATTCAACGCTGTGTTGAGATCAAAAATACGCAAGAAACAGGGGCCCTTTAGCTTCCGCTTGATGATAAAAAGTTCAAGCAACGATGTTGAGGCTCCAATAATTGCGCTGATATGCAAAAGTTCTTTCTTAACTGGAAATGGTGGATATCGACCAGGATAGCGAAGTTTAACCCAAGTTGTCCTTTCATGTGGAATACCAGGAATCTCGAAGGCATAATAACGCTCGATAAATTTTATTCGCCGCTGCTCAATTCCCTGGCTTCGGCAAATATCATTGATTTCTGCCACTACATCTTCCCTGGAAGAGCCCAATTTAGGAAGAAGAAAAACACAGCGATTCACGTTTTGTACACGTACACAACAAGAGCAAAACTGTGACTTACCATTTTCTTTAAGTAGTATTTTTCCAAAGAGAAACAACGATCCGGGGTCCACTGATAACAAATAAGGTTGTTCCTTGACATCAAACCAATAAAATAAATTACTTTCCTTATCGCCACACTCCTCAGACACTAAGGTATCGCTTAAATAACCAGTGTCTAACAAATTGCCATTAATTTCAACTTTTTCAACAGGTGTCTCAACTTTAAGGTAGGTTGCAGATGACGTATTAGACATATGGGAGGATGCTTTCTTAGGTACAGCGTTGGGTGACTCAAATTCAAACTTTTCATCCTCTAGTTTGACAAACGGCGTTTCGGTAGTGTTGTGGTCGGATTGTGTTACCGGGTTACTAGGAACATCAAACTCATATTCATTCGTAGAGTCTATAAGTCCATAAGTGAAGTCAATTGAATTTATATCAGCCTTTTCTTCTTCTTCATCGTCTTCAAGATATTTACTGATATCTATGGGTGATTGATCGTCTTCTTGATAACCTTCTCGGTATTTAGTAACGAGCTTTTCCATATCGTGTTCGCTTAACGTCTGATCAAGGGTCTTTTGTTTGGATTTAATAGTTTTTTGCAAAGAAGTCTTTTCAACTTTTCTGTGTATCTTTAGTTTTTTCGACATCATTTGAGGAAGACAAAGGTCACCATTTCTAGGCAGAACCTCTTGGTCATCATCCTCTAGTAACTGGTCGGTTAGCGCCTTCCAGTGATCGCTGTTGTCGTATTCTTCGCCACTATTATGTTTATTATTCAACATTGACTAAAATAATAACTTTCACTAATTTTAAAAGTATTGAAAAAAAAGTAAAAAAGGTATATATTGGTATATCATGTATTTATCGTAACATATATTGTAAAGAGGGGTAAAGAAAATGAAGCTATATTGAATATTAGATAAAACTCATAAACCTCTTGTATAGCATGTAAAGAACAATAACTTTTAAAAATTCTAAAATATTTTAAGAGAAGCACATTAGAAAATCATAAATATCAGTAGTACATTTTTATAAGAAATTCCATTTTTATCAAACACTACAAACTTCATCAAGTATCTCTAGGCTCTTCACTGAAAATGATAATTGCCTAGCAAGGTTAATCAAAGTAAACTTTTCTGAACGATCAAGAGTTAATCGATAAACATCATTATTCATATTTATTTCTGTAGCAATAGCAAGACCTTTAATTGCCAATTTACCCCATACACGACATTTTTCACAGGGAACACAATCCATTATGGTACTTACATTGGCTAGCATGCGCTTCATTTGAGGAACTAGTTCCCTTCCTTTAGGTGAATTCATGAAGGAAACCTCATCAAACGTTTTTGTACACAAGAGGTTGGAAACAAAAAGTGCTAGCAAATCTGACTGCAGCTCTTCGTGTTCTAGAGTTAGAGCACTACTCGCGCTGTAGTAATATTTTTCCATATCATCAATAAATGCATGCTTCGCCTTTGTCAAGGCTCGGAGCGTGAATTGAAAGAGCGTGTAAAAATTCGAAATGAAATCTTTGTTCGGTTGTATCTTTTCTTTGAACATCTTACAATTTGGGAAAAATGAAATATTAGGATTGTTGTAAAGTCCAGTTCGATATAGAGGTGATTCAAATTTTGAGTCTTTGTAAAAGTTTGTGCACACGTGTATAGCAACCGACGTTTGAAAACCACTGAGAAGAGATCGGAAGACACGGCTTTCAATGCAATTCGACTCATCTGATGGGAAACAGTTTTCATTATATATTGCCTGCCAAACCTTAGTTGCCATCGGGCCAATAAAGCCAGTGTTGGCCTCTGGATTTTGCAAAAGATCGACATACTCGGCGCCTTCATCCTTAATCTTCCAGGCACCCCAACTCTCAACATTATGGGGGTGTGGAACAGTCTGTGAAATATGCGCATCAGGGATAGAGTATTCACTCATGTCCACTTCCTCACGAAGTTCTTTCGGAATATTGTTTTCGTCGCATCGACAAACGCTGCATGCATTTTCCTTGCTAGTACAAAGGAAATTTACCACCCAATAGGGACACTGCTTCTCAGTGTTTACTTTGAAGTAACGAAAGTAAGACTTCGACGTTAAACGGTTGAGTAAAGGGAGCAAAGCTACTGTACCTCTACAAATTTCATCTTGTGAACTCCAGCAGTATCCATCATTAACAGAAACTTTAGACAGTTGTCCGTTCGAATCGTCGTATAGGTGGTTCTTCAATAAAGTGTAAATCAGTAAAAGCGTGATGAAACACAACATATATTTCACGACAAAACTGATTTTGTTTTTTAATGGTCGACATTTCCTGCGATTAGACATTTTAACAAAAGCGAGAGAAAAGAAAAATAAAATAAAAAATAAATATCACTGATATTCTAACACTATAGCAATTAATATAGATCTGAATCTAAAAAATAAATAAAAAGAAATCCCAGAAGGTATGAAGAATCACGCATATCACTATAATACATATTTGTTTATTTAGCAAAAATTAGATAACTCAATCCAAACATTCTATTTTCTCATATTGTATATTCGTGTCAAGGTTCAAACTCGTAAAGTAATAGATCAACAGGGTTTTGCCTGAATAAGCCACACAGCAAAAAAAAAAGACAGTGCAGTGAAACAAGGACACAAACAATAAAACATTTAAAAAAACCCGCACCCTACCACCTATATAAACAGATACCCTGGGTCTGGAATATGCCACTATTACGAGTATTTCCTTGTCTAAATGCGCAAAAACGATCTACAATATGGCATGTTTCTCCTTCCCAAAATGGATCCCGGGCACATGGAGTCCATCTATAATTTATGGGCATGGTTTGCGGCGGCAGAGGAAGCCCGGCTCCGCCAGAACTCCTTCACCGACGAAATGAACTCAGCGGAATCCATGTTATATTGGAAGATTTTATTTTGTCTTTATACTTATTTGATTAAATATTTTTTTAACCCCCCCCTCCCCCCCCCCTCCCTTGAGGAACTCATAAATTTTTAGCGAATAATGATGTAATAAGTAAATTGAAGCCCTCTAAGGTACAAATAACTTAACTAGTTAATTTTTGTAGATTTGCCTGGGGGAATGGAGCAATTTATTATCTACTGTGAGTCAGGCATTTTTTTTTTTACAATGCAGTTACTTAAGTCATGTGTTCGCGAATTTTCTCTTTGTCTATTTGGTGATTTGGACATAAAAGGCAAACGGCAACATTAATCTTGTTATTCTTTTTTTTTGAAAATCATCAGATTTATCCTAGTTTGCTTTTACCATCGTTACTATAATAAAAAGTATTAAAGATAGATAAATTTTAAAAATTCTATTTATATTATTAGTTAAATGTCATTTAAAAATTTTTTCTCAGTAGGAGCTAGAAAAGTTCATTTAAAGAGCAGAGGCCGCAGCGATGGTCGATTGACAGGATATAAATTTAACCTTTTTGTACGGGCCCCCTTTCGTGAAAGGTCCTTAAAAAGGGCTCAATGCGCAGATCTTAAGGGTCGTTATAATGCTTTTGACATGGATGTTATTAGGAAGGATATTGCAAAAGAAAAGTTTGCTAACAATTTTTATAGACTCCCTACAAATTCTTTAAGGCGAGAAATTAAGGCAAATAAGCCATCACATCTCAGTTTGGGTAGCAAATCAATTAAAAAAATGATTAAATAATTTTAATACTGTTTTTCTTCTTATATTTTTTTTTTATTATATATTTCTAACAGTGTTTCCTGTTTTGAAGTGTGACTTTTTTTTAAATGTAACATGTAAGGATTGCTTCAATTTTTGGTCATTTTTTTTTATGTTTTGTTATTATGAAATCTTTTCATATTAACTTATGGTTAGATTTTATAATATAAAATATTAGAAAATCATTATTGTTTGAATCCACATGGTGAACAGTTTTTTTCTTTTCGCTAATTTTTATATCGCGTTGATCTTTGATTAAAGGTGTATAGCTTAATCATCGGTGAATTTTTTTCCGGTTGGATTTTTTTGGGGGTTATTCTGATATTTTATTTTTTGTTGCTGTTGAACTTCCCAAAGGTATAGATAAGCTTTCAAATCATATTGGTGCTTGTCTAAATTATCTTTAGACTTAATCAGTCTATAATTGTTTTTGGAATTTTTGTAAAATTAATATCACATCAATTTTTCTGCCTTATCAAATACATTCGTCTTTTGGTATTATTCTTAAACTTTATATTAATATATTTACTAAATAGCGTACTAACTTATTATTAGATCAGATTTTCCATATTGAATGGCTTCGATATATTGAAAAAAAAAGGTGTACTTAAAATGAAAAATAGCTCGAGAGTTTAATAAAAAATATATATCGTTAGAGGCCGATTTATATTAAGTCTTATTTAAAATTAGAAGATTTAGTAAATGAACGTCTGTTTGAAAAGGGTCATTAATATTTCGCTAATTTAGAGCCTTGGATTAAAAAAATCAAAAAAATGCATATAAATAATGCTAAACGTATTATAAAAAATAATATTAATAATAATAAATATTTCATAATAATAATAATATATTTATTCATGAAAAATAATTAAGTATTTATTAACATTTCTTGGAGAGCAATGGTTGAATTAACTGAAAAAAGTCCTCAACCATAAGAAAATTGATAAATATTTACGAATAAAGTGTTTCCGACATGTGGATTAAATATATATATATTTATTTATATATGTTAAACTCTTGAATATATATTTCTTAAAAAAAAGAACTCTTTTAACTCATTTATCAACATAAACTCCGAAGCAAATACTAGAACCCTATATAAGGCACTTTTCTTGCCTGAACAATAATACATTATTTTCTGATGTACCATGCGGCGTAAGGAAAGAATGCCTATTTCTATCAAACATATGAATAAATATGTTTAGATATTAAACAGGAAGATATTCTGGTAATATTTAATGTTTTTATTAAGATTCATGTTTTGTTATAATTATATAAACTATGCCTTTTGGATAGTTTATATAATTATACCTCAAACTTTATAAATTGTTGATTGGTGGTTATTTTGTTCAAAATTAAGCATGTTAATATTAGTGTATTTTTATTAAATCTTTATTCGCTCCTTTCTTTATGATATTTGATGTAATGTATATTTTTGATTGAAAATATGAAAGATAGATCAAATGTTTTACACTAAATTCTTATTCTCTTATTTTTGTATTATTCATTGATACTCACTCCTCTTCCATAAATAAATTCTATTTTCCCTCTAAAGAACTGAATCATAAAACAAAGGCTGATTTAGGACGAAAGCACACGCCTTTCGTATACGCGTTTAGTCAGCCTTCTCCATAGAATATTATATAGATCTATTCTGATATACATATATTTATTTATTTATCTATTCATTTCTTTTATAATTTTATTATTATTAATTACTATTTTAACCTTCGCGCAATACGGTCTAGTTAATGTCAACGGAAGCTGTAAAGAAAAGACTTCTGCTTTCTACTAGTGTGCTCAATATTCCACTAGACCGCACACCACGGGAAGCAAAAGTTAATGACGTTTGTGCCGCTGCAAAGCTTCTACGCCGTCGTCTACTCCGAGAGCATACTTTTGTTGTCGAAAAAATTCAGCAATTGCGTCAGCGACAAGTCTATGATGATGAAACCGACGATGGCGAAGATGAGGAAATCACTTACAAAAAAGAGTCTGTTTCCCATGAGAACCCTAATTCTAGTTCCTCCTATAACCCTGATCTGTGCGCAAAACAAACATACCGACATGAATTCATGTTATTAGCTGATTTACAAGTAGCAGAAAAAAATGTTATTCCTGTATTATTAGCACATGGTATTAAGTTTGTTGAAAACTTGCTTCCACAGTTGCTGAAACTGCTAATTGCACTGCTTCTACCAGTTCCACGGTTTTCCGATCAGGAATCACAGCAAAAGGATTTACTGACGAGAATCAAAGTCCGATGCGGTACGGATCAATTTTTCGCTCTTATGGTGCAAATTGTTGCAGATATCGCGATGAAACGTGCTTCTGGTAAAGCATCCCAAAGTGATTTTTCTCTTTTGAATATCGTGCTGACCACAATCTCGTATCTTCTCGAAGGCCATCCACGGGATATCTCAACGGTAGCAGGGTCTTTTTGCCGTACTCAAGGTGTCGAATTGCTACTTGTTATTGTCAATCAAAACTATGCAAAGGTAAAGCCGTCTTCAGTGGAAAATATGGAAACTACATGCCCACCTCCTGTGAGTGAGGAAACTAATAATAATCCCCACAATATCAAAATACATGATTCAAGTAACTCCAATACAGTTAATAAGTTGGATTTGGTGGTTGGTCATGAAATCGAAAGTATCAGTGAGGATATGTCCTCTACAGGGCAAAAGGTTGTAGTCCTGAACGAAGATTCTACGTCAGAAGACAATGAAACTGGGGAAGATTTTATTACTAAGGAATCTTCAGCACTAGCACGTCAATTTGAGCAAAGAGTAAAGGACTATTTTGAAAGTGAACAGCAGCTGTGGAAATGGAACGTATTGGTGATAAAATCGCTCTCAAGTGTCCTTTCGTGCGTATCACCTATCGAAATGGCGCAACTCAGCATCTCAAACAATCTAGCCTCGTCATCTTTGTCGCTAAGTGAGCGGCAGAATATTCCGTTTCGTGGTAATGAACAGCTCAAGGCGTGCAAACAGGAAAATGATAAGTGGCATTGCATTGCACGAGGACGAAATGGGGCCATGAATTCCAGCAGCATTCTCGTACGCCCCGACCCCAAGCGAGCTTTCCTCGGTGTTAAACAAAGCGAGGATGACCACGGGGACGCGAAACAGCGCGTTGGCGGTCGTGCGATTGGCTCCGTATCGACACTGCTAAGCACTAAACGTAAGGACCCGCTTGAGGCGATGAAGGATATCGATTTCCGAAAGCGGGGTCGCTTTGTGAGTGGCATGTTTCAGGGCGCCACCCCCTTCAGTGATATCCCACTACCCACAAAGATCCAACTATCTCAACAAATCCGTTCCTTCTTATGTTTTGGTTTTGAGCCACTTAGTGTGATGACATGGACAAGGCTTGAGGGCGTTATTCAGAATGTCGATCAGTCGACGAAGGAATATAAGGAGATGATAGCGGCCTACCGTAACTCCGATGAAGTGACAGAAATAACCTCACCATTTGAAGCCAGCGTCTACGAATCCTTCTCCAACGTCTTGGGCTACGTCAAAACTTCTACAAGTTTTTTGGCCTATATTCGCGAGACTGCTCGAATCATGAAGCATGATAATATTGGATTTACCTCATCCCCCTTTCAGCAACAATGGCAAAGTGTGTCATCAATCATTTCGCTAGGTCATCTTGAGGGTGGCTTCTCTATGTTGAGGTCATTCTTACAGTGCAAAGACCTTCGTCAGCGTCTGGATATGATAGTGGTTGTACACTATCTTTCGGAGATGCTTCTGGTTTTGACGCTTCTGCTAGAAGGGGATCTGATTCAGGACGCTGCTGTGGCAGTCGCCGCACACGCCTTGGTCTCCTCCATACTCTACAAGGAAATAAACATTAAGACATTCTTTGATCTCATAGGTCTCTGCACAGGAAATAGGAAACTTAGTCTGGCGCATGCTCAAGCCATAAGCTTGTTCATGTACGCCGTGTTTCAGCTTATGGATCAGTGCAGCTATAAGGGCCGCTTGCTGCTGATGAAGCGCCCCGCACCTAATCATCGCCAAAAAGACACTGACCCGGTTGGTTTAGATTCTGCTGCTCAAACCAAGCTACAAAATACGCAAGAAGTAATACCGCTGGGCGCAGCAAGCATGACTGCGGATACAACGAAAAGTAATGTAAGTGGTATTAGTGATCAAATCCCGGAACTGCAAACTGAGCTGCGTGAGATAGGGGATGATAATGGTGTGAACAGTCCCCACTGGAAGACCTTGGCGCAACTTGATAATGAGTTCGTAGATAACGACAAGGTGTCAGATCCTTTGAAAGCAACCGCACCAATATATGTGGCTAATGACAATGATAAAGCTGAAGCTGTGGAATATTTGCCTATAAATGAGGCTATGACTCATCCCATAAATGGCATGTCTAATGATGATGGAGTTGACGTCACTGCAAGGGAGATGTCATGCGCGTTATCTGAGGCCCATCCCGCCTCTGTGGCTTCCAGCAGCATCATTACCTCAGAACGAGAGGTATCGACAAGGAGCTATTTCCACAGGATCGCAACTCCAAAGCATATGAACATCATAAAAGTGACACTACAGCATTGGCGTCTAAACGACGCTGATGTAAATCTTGGCCTTACGTACTTGATAAAGAAGCTTCTGGAAGAGGGTTGCGAAGGTGCATTTTACAATGTTAGTTTCCTTTTGATTATTCGAGATGTTATTGTGAATGGAAAACGGAGCCATCGACCCCTTTATGACGTTTGCGATGAGTTGGCATACTTTTTTTTCAATCCAAACTTTGCCAAAGTAGCAGATGAACGCACAAGAACCCTTCTCAATGTAAATGAGCTGCCCATGGTAAGTGGATCTCAATCGTTTCTTGGGTTTGAAGTTTCCCTTCGATGCGCTCGATCCCTTTTCAACTACAACCCCACAGACTACAAAATTCTAGAAGAAAAGGCTATACCAGCCATGATGGACTACACAGTGTTGGAGCTCCCTGAATGGTCATCCTCTCATGATAATGTCGATGATCCAGGCTTAGAAAGGCAAAATTCTACGACTACGATAAACTTTAACAGTGTTCACGGCAATAGTACAACGCTAGTAGGACGGGAAGAAACATTGACACAGGAACATAATGAAGAATATGTCGGTAGGGAAGGGGAAGAAAAAACTCGAAAAAGGGAAAGGGAACAATCTGAGATCGAATGGCAAACCGTAGGGGTCAGCGAAAACTCTGGACCTAAGTGGAACCAAACAGAGGAAAAAAAACAAGGAATGGATAATGCTGATCGCGAAGCAAATGAAAACGACATCGTGGTTTCATAATTCACATTTTCCTTTTCCGATGATATGGAATAAATTGAAAAAAGAAACCAAGACGTTCATTATGTAGAGCTAAAATTGACTACTTCACAGGAGGTTTATTCTTTCAGGCATGGCAAGAACAGAAAAATTGTTTTAAGAATATATCTTTGAAATCAATATTTTATCGTCATTTCTTGCACACAAACAAGAACTCATAATGAAAAACAATATGATAATATGACGGCTAATTTTTGTTAGAAAAGGAAGCATATCCTTTTCTTTGTTTATATAAACAGATAGATCCATTGCATTATCTTCTATATTTAAATATTCCTTTTCATCCCTCTTAATTCCTAGCGAAAACTTTTAAAGCCTAATATCCTAAGCGTGTACAACTCTCTTTAGTTAAAATTATTTTTTGAACGGGTACCTGATCTAATAAAAAAAAATGACGCATACTGATCAAATGCAGGTAAACTATACTCCACAAGAGCTGGAAACGCGCGTAAAACAGGGTCTTCAGAAGCGTAAAAAGTGTGCCTTGTGTACGCAAACATTTTATGTCAATGAACTTCCCGGTGCGATTACACATAAATCTATTTTAGAGTTACGTCGCAAGTGGGGTGTGGAACTTCCTCGCGGAAATCGCATGCCACCCCCCTCTCAGCTCTACAAACGTGAAGAAATATGTGTTTTTTGTATGCAATTTTTTGATACAAGTGGAACTATGCAGTCACAGCAGCAGCTCTTGGCCTCTACTCGCGGCGGTATATCCCCATCCCTTTCTATGCGCTGAGGATATCTATGACCTATATATTTTGGGGTAGTGTATCTTATTTGCTTATATAAAATGAAGGATATAGAAAACTTCATGTCCATGTAAACCAAGTTCTAAAGCTTTGTTGTACGATAATGTACAATTCAGAGACTCAGACAGGAATATACCTATGGCCAGCTTCCTTTAACCATTCCTCTGCAACCTAATTCCTAGAAAAAAAACTGCAAAAACTTGGTTTCCTATTCGGTACTGTGTGTTGAAGTTTAGTACCACGATAAAGAAGCCAGTTTTGCCGGTGGTATATTATATATATATATATACATATATTGTTGAGCGAATTGTTTAATTTATCTTTTGTATTGGATCAAAAACATCTGTGAAGAAATATTCTTTCGGATGCGTTAGTGGGAATACAATAAATCTTGAAAAGAGCGTTAATCATCTTTTTTACAGAGAATTATCCTCGACTATATGAAAAATGAACTCAGAAAGAACACCCTAACTCTCACAACCCTAAACTCTGATGAATTTCCCTACATATTCGATGCATACGTTCCGAGAAATACCCCTGACGTAACAGGAGTATCACAGAAGCAGATCAAAAGCATGGTAAATCTTGAATAGGTTGTCGTAATAAGGGCACCACGCCGTTATGATGAGTGGGAATAATAAAAATAGAACTACACTAATGTTTCTATGCAAACGTTTGAACGAGAAGCTTCTTCAGATTGATCAAAAGTTGTCTTGTATTTCCAGAATTATATATCATGGTTGTCTGAGTCAGGGTTTACTTTAAGCATTGGTCAAGGGATATAATGAAAAATGATGCGGCGTAAAATCCACAGCAATATTTATAGTCATTGCTACCTTCATGTAAAGATTAGTTTAAGTTTTTATTGACCGAAACACAATCGGTACGAGCGTTCATTTGAAAGAAAAACCTCAAACCATTGCTCTTATTGTTAAAAAACACCTCATTGCAGCGATACCATTTTTATTCTTTTCTTGTATGTTCAACCCCTGTAATATACGTATATGCAAGAACTATTAAAAGTGCAGAAGTAACAAAGGTGGCGTGTTGCTTGGGAATGTTATGTCAAACCTTCCGCATCTGGGCCAAACGCACCCCAGGGTATGTCTTTTGGCGCCAAAGCACCCTTATTGAGCTGGAGCACTCCAGGCGAAACTACCTTATGTCCGAGCGACCGGTCCCCGTTTCGGAGATAGCGCGACGCATGGTACGCGTCCTGAAACGTTACGAGGAGACACGTGACCATCACGAACGAAATCTCCTTCGCGGTGAGTACAAGTACTTCAGTGGGAAGATCTGTGATACGCGCGGTGCCCGATCAAGTGACCTCATCGCCTTTTTGAAGTGCTGCAATTTTTTCGGCTTCTGGGATACCGCACAAGTTGAACGAATCATGCAGGAGATACGACTAAAACGCGACAGCATAGCAGCGAACGAGCTGGTAGAACTATTTTTGTGTTTACCAGGTTTACGAAAACAAAACAGTGACCTTTACCACGACGCTGCAGAGAAACTGGCAGGATTGGTGCCGGAGCTGACTACACAAGAGTGCATTTCTGTGTGCGAAGCCTGCACCGAGTCTGCACCTATTTCTCTTCTGCATAATGTGCTCCTAGGGATAAAACAGGGCGTCAATGATCTTACCGCTTCTCAGTTGGTGAATGTAATCGACACCATTGGCTCTGCACCACAGCCTATTCGACAAAACTTCCTGCAGCTTCTTGAAGAGCTTCAAACCAAAGCTCTTGCCATGTCTAACGAGTTGGATTGTGTAGATATTGCTGTACTATACACTGCACTTAAATCACACGGCGACTGCAATGAGCACGATGAAAAGACGCTTTTGCAGAACTACATCACACACACTGCGAGCAGTTGTGCGCGTTCACTGGCTATGATGTTCTCAGCAACCTCAAATTCATTAGAGATGAGTTTGTTGCTGGCGCAGGCCATGGAAGAGAGGACGCTGTTCTTGGCGACTGACTTCACCCCTGCTGAGCTGCTCGCCGTGTTAAAAATCTACATGAGGTGCCTTGGCGCCATGAGTATGGTTGTTGGTATGCACCAAACTCACGTAGTCAAATCCGACGTTACCAAGCCTTTGCCAGTTTTAAATAGTGATGGCGGCGATATCCCTAAGCTCTTGATACCTGAGGCGAAGTTAGCCGCGCAACGACATGCCGGACTACGCCATGTGTTAATGGGGTTGTGTGAGCAATTGGTGGTGATGCTTGAAGGAGCGGCATCGTACGTTTCGCCCGTGGAGCAGATGACGCTATTAGAGGTGTATCAGACAACCTTGGATGATATCGCATCCGTCACAGATGATTCAACTTCGTTGCTACTGGCGCAGCTTCCACAGACTCGCACAATAATGCAGCTTCTCACAAACAAAATCATATCAAAGATTAAACAAAGCTTCTCGCTTGGGGAGCTTGTGCGCCTGTTGGAGTTGGGCAATGGTCTAGGGTCCCATATTTTACCGGATGCTGTTGTTTCAGCAACCATACAAGAATTGCTCGTGCGGCATTGGAAGCTAACACCCGATGATGCATTCAGCGTGGCCAATCTGTTGGGTTCACTGAAGAACCTCCGTTCCGAGCACCAAGCCCGTATAAACACAAGTCTAATACCAAAGTTTTGTAACTTTGTTTAAAAGGATAGTAATGGATGAAACTGAATACATTCATGGATTGTACGATGCTTGAATATCTGAAAGCTTTTCTAAACATGAAGGAATTCGTATTCACAAAGTACATATGTAGAAAAAAAAAGTTACCTTTGCTTAAGCAATCTGTATGCGTACACACATGCTTACTGAACTTTATATGTCTTCATTTATTAGGTCATGTTGCCCCTTTTTAGCTTTTGCTGCTGCTAAGTAGGTTATAGAGCCTGTAGATTACGGAGGAAAAGATTCTTTACACTTAACTGAAGAAAAGAAAATACGAGAAAGAAAGCATATAATGTGTTTTAAACGCTGCTTTCTCTCACGCTCTGCCTATAATGAACTGTTGGTTGTGGGTAGCCGTTGGAGGCGTTTTCTTGCCAAGCCCTCCCCCCAGGACTTGGACTCGTCCTCTACAAACCCCAAACTCGTCACCTCTCAAGTAACTATTATTCCCACACTACATATTGCAAGCATAAAGTTTTACGATCAGGTGCTCGACTACTTGCGCATCGCTGTCCAGCGTAATAAGAATACTGTTATTTTCCTCGAGGGTATATGTGATAGTTGCGAGGCTCAGCAAGCTCAGATGCGGGAGTATCATGAAATTGTGCAAAATAAATCCCTACAGGAAGCGATTGTGTTGAAAGCAAACCAAAATAACCTGTACACCGAGAATACCATGCGAGATATCTGTGAGGAACTTTCGGTGGATTACGATACCCTGCTCCGCTATACGAACGAGGTACGGCTGCAGGAATGCTACCTGAAACCAAAAATTGCGGCGTATTGCGGGCTCAATTTATGCAACACGGTCGATCTGGATATGGGGAAAGTGCAAGCGTTGCTGCAGGATGAGGCAATCCGCCTGAGCACCTTGGGCGAATCCCTGCCCTCTAGTGTTTCTGTGACAGAAATTGGGTCGTTCCCCGTTATTCGCAAGAATCGTGAACGTAGGGTGGCCCAACTGGCCCGCATGCAATGCAAGCAATGGTATCAGGATGGTATCGAAAGTGAAGTGATTATACCCTGGGGATACTTCCACTCAGAAGCTATTATTCACAACATAATTGAGGGAAATGCGGACCCAATAGATCAAGATTCCACTAATCAGGTTGATGTATCAGTCAGCCGAGGCAGTAGTACAAGTGAACCTGGTAAAATAGAGTCAAATCTTGATGAAAATACTTCTGGTACGGCTAGTAATCTTTCCAGAAGCAAAAAAAGCACACCAGTATCGGCATCCCCTGATAAGCCCACTTTAGTGTTTGTTGAGGCTGATGAACTTGTCGCTAAGGTCCCTTTTGGACTCCCGAAAGACCTTGTTGAGATAAAGACAGACACGAACAGCTGAATAGGTTGCTAAGTAGATTTAAAATGCTGCCTACACTTTAGACAAGACAAGATGAAACTTGTGAGTAAAAAGATACTTATCTGCTGCTATTTTAGAATTTATTATAAAGATGCCAAAGCAGCAATGTCGAAGAATCCCTTTTTCATTTCTACTTTCATTATCATTATCCTTTCGTGAAAACATACACGTGAAGCCTTGTCGCGGTTTCGGTTCATAACACGTGTGTAATGCGTTTCAAAACAAAGCTGAGGTGCTATATTGAATCGAATTAAACAATGCAACAGAACCCAAAAATTGTCTCTATCTGATGCTAGGAATCTACATAAAAATTAGGAATCAGGATTCATTAATGTTGTTGCAGGATATTATGCTTTATTTATTTTCATTTATTTCAATTTTTGTGTGTATGTGAGAGAGAGGAGATGGTAAGACGGAGTGCATCTGCTAAACCTAAGGGAGAGAAGTCTGTACCGTTAAATTCACGATTTTGAAGGCTGAGGGGGTGTATAATAAAGTGAAATGTTTAAGCGCAGTCGTATGATAAACTGCGGCAATATTCTTACTTTCCTTAAGAAAGCGAATGTATTTTCTATTCAAAGATTGCCTTCAAAATCTTATCTTAATAAATAGTTATTACTTTTTTCAAATAAAACTCTGGTGGCAGATAAAATCATTGAGTTCACAACCAGCAGATGCTATTGGTGTCATTTGCTCATACAATATTACGAAAAATATCAAAATGCTGTAAAAACAAAAAGTAAAGCAATCATCATAAACCTTCATCGACATTAAACAAGAGACATATTTGTACATACAGAAAAGTGGATAAATTAACACTTTTTGATTTAATTTACTCTCTACACTTCGACCTTGCGCTAGTTCTCCCAATGGCTCAAGTATAGTGTCAACCGCTCGAATGTAAATCCAATTCGTCACGAAATGGGTTACATGATGACGAACAGAATAACGTATGCATACAGTAATTTCATGCAAAAATACTAGAAGGTAATAGATCTATTGTTATGTTGGTATGAACTGTGGATATGGATCACTTCTGTAAACTTGTTAAAGCTTTCCTCGCGTCCCCATTTGTCGTATTATTCAAAAATTATAGATTAAATCGCTTTTGCTTTTAGATTAACAGGTTCTCTCAAATATAGAGCTAGAGGTAGAGGTGCTTACTGGTAGTAGTAGTTCCGTTTCTTTGTATTTTATCTTTCTTTGTGGATTAACAAAAATAGATTATTAATCACCTTATTAAGAGCTTTTGCATTGTGTGCGGGGACATTTTACCCTTAACAACAAATAACGAGGATGTTATTCAAGCGCTTGGATTCATCGCGTGGGGCTCTCAACTCGAGTCGTCGAGCCCCATTAAGTAAAAGGAGTGAGACAAACCGGGCGAATACGCCGACTGCGCAACGCAATGTATCCGCCCGCGGGTCCTCTTCCCAGGTCAGCAGCCCCCCCCCCCCTCTCTCCCACCACGCCCCACCTCCCAACTCGTTTCACCGCGGCGTGGGCCTCGACCAGAGAAGGAGCAAAAAGACAAAGGTAGGGCCAGTGCGCAACTAGAAAACTTTGAGCGTAGCAATTCCTTGAATGATAGTAGGAACTCCTTTAAACGCAGTAACACAGCCATTGGACTAAAAAAGGCTGAGGCAATCAAACGCAACAGCCGTGTGAACGTGTACGTGCGCGTTCGCGGGTTCCTTCCACAGGAGAAGACCGGTGACGCCGCTGAGCTAGCTGTGAAAATGAAGGAGGTGACTGTGGAAGTAAGTGTTCCTAAAAAGGGACGCTTCACGTTCTCTTTTGATGGGTGCTTTTGGAGTAATGATCGTCCGTGTCCAACAGGCAAGCGCTTTGCGACACAAGACGACATCTTCGAGGAGGTTGGTCGTCCGCTGGTCGAGAACGCATTGGCCGGTTATAACGCTGCTGTAATGGCGTACGGACAAACCGGCAGCGGCAAAACGTACACGTCGTTCGGACCCGTGGGAAGCCTAGGGACACCCGAGGAAGGGCTAATTCCGCGTGTGTGCAACATGATATTCGCACGTGCGGTCACAAGTATCCAGAAGGGAGTTATGTACACAGTGAGAGCATCTATGCTAGAGGTCTACCTCGAAGACGTGTTTGACCTTCTTAACCACCGCAAGCAACTCAGCGTGCGCAACGATTTTACAAGCAACATGTTTCACGTTGTGGGTGCCAAAACCATGACGGTGCACAACTACCAGGATGTGCTAGCAGTGCTGAGCAAAGCTGAACCTCTACGCACCTTTGCGGCAACTAACATTCACGACCACTCGTCTCGAGCGCATACGCTTTTCATGCTGGAGGTGCAGACGAACTTTGAGTCTGTTGACCTCGCGCCACGCTGTGCCAGGATCATGCTGGCTGACCTAGCGGGGTCCGAGCGCATCAAACTTGCCGGTACGGAGGAGGGCATTGCCTTCGAGCAAGCGCGCAACATCAACCTTTCGCTGCTTTCACTGGGCTCGTGCATCGAAGCCGTAGCAACACGCGGCAAGAGTGATATGCGCTCTATTCCAGAGTTCCGCAATAGCACGCTAACTAAACTCCTCAAAGACTATATTGGCGGCAATAGCATCTCCACTATAATGGTTACCATCGCACCCAGCACACAGGATTCAAGTTTAACCGTTCAAGCACTGCGCTTTGCAGATCGCGCCAAACAAATTGCAACACATGCTAAGATTAACACAGTCAACCTGGCGCAACAGCAAGAAAGTGCTAGCAACCTGAGCGAACGCCTGCGTGATGAGTACATGCTCAAGAAAGAAGCCCTTTACTCAGCGTACCAGCTCCAGGAAACAATTGATAAGCTACTGAAGCGAATCGCAGAATTAGAAGAGAAACTGCGAGACTGTAACGACGAGGATATGTCCAAGCACTTAACTACAGAGATTGAGAGCTTGGAAAAAGAGCTGACGCACGCGGACTACCAACTGTTGCAACAACGGCAAATCCTGTATGGAGAATTTATTATGCTCGAGGATGAGCTACGAGACTTGAACTCGAAGATGCAGGAAATGCGTTCAGAGCACGAGGAACAGGTAGAGGCACTACTGGGTGAAGAGTCTGGACGTTTCGAAGAGATGAAACGATCCTACAACCAGCACACGGACGTGTTAAACCGTGAACTTGCTGATTCACGTGATGAAGTAGAAACTCTGAGAATGAAGTGCGCGGAGCTAGAAAACATACTCGCGCTAAAGAATAAAGAATGTAGTGATCATATGGAGCAGCTGGAAGAACAGGAAGCGAAGATAAAAAATAACGAAATTCAATTTGAAAACACAAACTCAGAACTTAAAAAAATAATAGAAAATCTTAAAGCTGAGGTTGAAGAAGCAAATGAAAAAGCAGCTACTGAAATTACAAAATTGAACATACAAATACAAGTAGGCACATCTAAACTTGAGGAGACTGAGCAGACTCTTGTCGACACAACAGCAAGGCTTGAGGAAACTGAGCAGACCCTTGTCGACACAAGAGCACATCTTGAGGAAACTGAGCAGACCCTTACGGGCACAACAACCAAGCTTGAGGAGACTGAGCAGACCCTTGCAGACACAACAGCAAGACTCGAGGAAACTGAGCAGACTCTTGTCGACACAAGAGCACATCTTGAGGAAACTGAGCAGACCCTTGCTGACACAACAGCAAGACTCGAGGAAACTGAGCAGACTCTTGCTGACACAACAGCAAGACTCGAGGAAACTGAGCAGACTCTTGCTGACACAACCGCCAAGCTTGAGGAGACTGAGCAGACCCTTGCAGACACAACAGCAAGACTCGAGGAAACTGAGCAGACCCTTGCCGACACAACAGCAAGACTCGAGGAGACTGAGCAGACTCTTGCTGACACAACAGCAAGACTCGAGGAGACTGAGCAGACCCTTGCTGACACAACCGCCAGGCTTGAGGAAACTGAGCAGACCCTTGCTGACACAACAGCAAGACTCGAGGAGACTGAGCAGACCCTTGCTGACACAACCGCCAAGCTTGAGGAGACTGAGCAGACCCTTGCAGACACAACCGCCAAGCTTGAGGAGACTGAGCAGACCCTTGCTGACACAACCGCCAAGCTTGAGGAGACTGAGCAGACCCTTGCCGACACAACAGCAAGACTCGAGGAAACTGAGCAGACCCTTGCTGACACAACCGCCAGGCTTGAGGAAACTGAGCAGACCCTTGCCGACACAACAGCAAGACTCGAGGAGACTGAGCAGACCCTTGCCGACACAACAGCAAGACTCGAGGAAACTGAGCAGACCCTTGCTGACACAACAGCAAGACTCGAGGAAACTGAGCAGACCCTTGCCGACACAACAGCAAGACTCGAGGAAACTGAGCAGACTCTTGCTGACACAACAGCAAGACTCGAGGAGACTGAGCAGACCCTTGCAGACACAACAGCAAGACTC